AAGTTTCAGACACACAATAGCGCTACATAAATATGACAAGCAAAAAGGATATTCTGCATTGCACGGCACAAACTCAGAATAAGAAAATTGTTTTCCGTCATCTGTAAGGCTGCGATGGTTTGAGCAGCTGATGGATATGGTAAACAAGGTATGAACATAAAATTTTGGTGGGAGAATTCGTGAAAAGATGCTCGTAAAACCGACAGTAAGATAAAAGGTTAACATTAAGCATTATCTTAGAGAGGTAGATTATGATGGAATAAGAATGGATGCAGCTGGATTGGTATAATATCTAGTGGCGGCCTTTAGTGTCGGCAGTTTTGAACCTTCGTGTTCTGCCATAACAGTGTTAGTATCTCACGTAAAGATAAAGAATTATTGCACCTAACTTCAGAGCACAGAAGCCGTTTCAGACTAGCCCATAAAGTTTTCTTCTGACTGAAAACTTGCTTTCACTACTCATATTCTGAACAAGGAAAAACACACGACGACAAAACTTGTACATTTTCCTCTTGTTTTCAGACTAGGAAGCTAGCTTAAGCTGCTTTATTTCAGTCTGTATTCAAGTTTTACATTTTGAATCAACACAAAGAAGTGCTTCTACGGTCACATAAATTAAATTTATTGACGTCAGTATAAAGTATTTTTAACATTTGAAGCTCTTAACGACCATTCGCTGAAACGACTGCTCAAAGGGAAGAGATAAATATTTTAGAATTCACGACACAGAAATAAGAAAAAAACGGAGCCCATAAGAAATCTCACCAAGAGGGACAAAGATCCACACATTTTACAGAAATTTAAATAATTGTACTCCTATTGTGTGTAAGTAGAATTTAAAAAAACTATTTGTCATTTTGTACCCTATCTATAAGCAAGTTATTGATCAAATTCCAGCATAATTAATTAAAGCAGGTGGCAATAGGTTGCATATGGAGATCCATAAACTTTTTCAGTTGATTTTGGATAAGGAAGAAATGCCACAAGAATGGAAGGGATTCATAAATATTTCTATCCATAAGAAGTGGGCAATTAGTGAGGAATTTCTCCTAAAGATCAAAATATACAAAGAAACAATAATTTTGTCTGTTATTTTGTATGGGTGCGAAACATGGTCTCTCATAGGGAGGAACACAGATTGCAGGTGTTTGAGAATCTGGTGTTGAGGATAATATTTGGGCCTAGGAGAGAAGACGATGGGGCATGGAGAAAACTGCATAATGATGAGCTTAAAAATTTGTACTCCTCAGGGTGATTAAGTCGAGAAGAATGAGATGGGCTGAGCACGTAGCGCGCAAGGATGAGACAAGAGGTGTGCACAGGGTATTGGTTGGGAAGCCTGAAGGAAAGAAACCGCTGGGGAGACCTAGACGTAGATGGGAGGATAATGTCATTCGGGATCTATGGGAGATAGGAGTTGAAGGAGACTGGATTTTGTTGGCCCAGGATGGAGGTGGAGGGCTTCGGTTAATTCGGTGATGAACCTTCGGTTTCCGTAAGCCATCTAGTTAGTTAGTAAGTTACCTGTAAGCATGACATTTACTTATTTAAACACAATACAATTCACTGTTTTAAAATATAATTACCAGCACGTATAGGTTATTCATTTTAGGCATTTCATACGTTCAAAACCTAAGATTAATTAAATAATTAATTAATAAAATTATCTTCCCGCAAATTCTGTCAATATAAACCATTTCATTAAGAATATATTTTATAAAAAGATAACATATATGGTTATGTTTATTACGTCACGTACAAATTTGTCCTTCTCATTCTAAGAGAAGTTCCGAAAATTCTGCTTAAGTAGTGTTTTTGTTGCACCGTAACTATCAGTCACATTAACAATGGCCCCCTTAAATTTTATTGTCAAAATTTCATATTACATATCGCTGAATGCTTTTGCTTGGTTCTGAAGATAGCACGCGGGTGTACGGAAGGATGGACAGATAGACAGACAGACACGTGGCGTCCATACTGTGTATTCGTGTTAATATTATCTTACCTGAAGTACATATAAATTGATGTTGATTTCGTAGGATATCCGAGGTTCGACTCCGATATTCCGGGTTTTGAAGCCGTTTAATTACTTCTAAACTAAGAACAGATGCACCACGCTGCTCCAAACCACTTGTAAGCATGTCCAAGGCTACACGAGGAGACAACCGAGAATCCCGGAGATGACGTATTATCATATTGAAACATTCCCTGGTCAGAAGATTTCCACGATTTATGGAACCAAAAGGTGCATTACATTGTTGACGGACACCCACCATCCTGAGACAATTTTATTCAGTACAGTAAATTATTTCGTTTAAGAAATATTTTAATATTATCCTACAATTTCCGCATAAATATCAAAATTTATATATTTTCATGGATTCTGCGACTAAATTCTTCATATTCTTCTTGTTTCCCTTTTTGTTTCAAATCTGGAACTCCACCCCCACTTTCAATCATAATGATAATGTAGCCCCGATTATGAAAATCTTAATTTTTCTGTCCACTTCTTACTTCACGTACCTTGGGTCAAAATTTTCTCATGATTTTCTAAAACTCCCTCAGAGTTTCATACCCACATTAACACAAAGGAAAATTAGGTTTATGGACTGTGTGTAAATGAGACTCGGGAAACGAACGGTGAAGTTAATTCTTAACGGAATTAACGATAAGAAAGGCAACTGGTGATGAAATGTAATTCCTTGTTCCTGCACAAATTACAGTAGTATGTGGAAATGGGATAAGGACTCAAAGGATTTAGTGGGGACTGTGCAGCAGCGCCTCGAAAGCTGGGTGTAAATCCTCTCCTCTCTCAGCGTCACCTCGTCGTCACGTGGTAAAAGCTACCTCTAAAACCGGGGCTCTGGGCACCGAATCTTGGCATCCGGTAACACAAAATCCCACCGGACATCTGGAGTGAAGGAATTGTTCATACGCAATTTCCGAACAACGAATCGAGAAAATGGCACGATTAATTGCTAATTTACGACTGTATTCCAAGTATCGAGGAAGTTAAAATAACATATTTATGCTAGTTACTAATATGTATAGTCATTTAAGCTTGTATTCTTATCATTATCTGCGTTGCTGGTGAATAAATCATTGTGGCTTGTAAGAGCCCTTAGGGAGAGTTTCGATCGAGAGGTTTACTCACAGATAAAAGAGGAAAATTGGATTCGGAAATGAGGTCTATAAGGTTAGAGTCAACGAACGTAAAATACATTGGTCTAGAGTAGACAAAACGCTCAAAATTAATTAAAGCGATTGAAAATCATATACGGTAATTGCCCTATAATAGAACACATTTCTTGTAATACTTATTAAATCTGTCGGAAGGACATAAAATATACACGTAAAACAAGTATAAATTTACTTACGCTATAACGTCAGTGACCCTTAGTACGAAAATAATTAACATCATCATAATGGGTGGACAAAATTTAATATTTTTATAAAAATTTGATTACTGGCGACCAGTTTACTGTGAAAATGGTGTTTAAATGTCTGTTGGTTTCCTGTCTGTCCAGGACCATAGTTACACTTCTCGGGGCCCAAGGAGCTAGGCCCTCTTTAAAGATACCAGAGTAAAAAAAGCATATGTAAATGTAATATAAAATAATTTTACGATATGTTTAAACACAATCGTTGTAATACTGCGAAATATAATGTACAGTACTGAACTAAACTCTGTGTCGCAACAGATCGTATGTGTATGATGAACAGCCATAAGGCTTTGGCGGGTCATCACGGGGTCATCGCATCGACTCCATCGCCGTGTTCCTGGATTTCGGTACCCTTTCACAAGTAGCTCTTCATTTCACACTCACTTTTTGTACAAAAAATGCCGTCTATATCGACTGTGCAAATGGGGGGTGCGCCGGGAATCGAACCCGAGACCCCAGGATTAGAAGGTCAGCGTTCTAACCGCTAGACCACCGTAGCACCCAGTGAGTACTTAGATGTAAACTCGAGATTACTAAAATGTTGGACTTTGCCCATTGTATGGTATTCGGAAGGAAAATGGGAGTTCCCGTCCTGAGCTGAAATAGGTGGAAGGTGGAGCTACTCAGTTGCGACAGTTAGAAAGAGCAGTCCTCAGTCACTGAACACCAGACGATGGTTAAAATCCAAGAATTTCGTAATGCCCAGAGTAACAAACTTTCTTCAGAACCTTTTAAAATTGACTAAATGTAAACTGTTTGAAGCATTTATAAACTTCAAACGACAACACTGAATTATATTAATATTCTGTTGCTGCATAATTTATTAACAAATATTTATTGAAACGTTAATTTTAAGAGTTCTTTGATTATAATAAACGCTATTAGTGCTGCAGGAATCTGCATGAACCAACTAATAAACTAGACACTATTTAACAAAGAACAACATACACGTTCATACACTTACAAACAGGTTAACACAAATGTAATTGTATAACATGTCCGTTAAGTATAACAGTAGCAGGACTGTTTTGAGAACAAACTTCAGCTACTGAGAATATGCCACTGTTTTCTGCGCAAAATAAGAATATGTCTAAAATATTTTATCAATGTCACGTGACTATGATTAATCTCCATATTTTAGTCTAAAACTCGAAATGGAAATGTTCACACGAATACAGTCATGCCTCGGAGATATTGCGGGCTCGGTTTCAAATTACCGCAATAAAGCGAGTCACAATATATTTTTGGTTTCCTAGTGCAAATATAAAAGTTATATTTACACTATACTGTAGTCTATTAAGTATGCAATAGTTTTATGTCTAAAAAAACAATGCGAGAATTACCAAAATGTGACACAGAGACACGAAATGAGCACGTGCTGTTGGGAAAATGGCGACTCGCTCGACGCAGGGTTGCCACAAGCCTTCAATTTGTAAAAAAAAAAACGCAATACCTGCGAAGCGCAATAGAACGAGGTATGCCTGTACATACATATCAGCGAGTTGTTCTTCCAAGCGTCGTAAAAATCTACGACCTTGAAGCGATCATATGCGTCACGGCACTGCAGGGTCGTAGATTCCAAGACCTTGCGATAAACAGCCAATGGCTCAGTTTCTTTCAGTGTCTACACACCACAGACAAAACACAGAGCGAGTGCTTAGGAACGCCTAAGTGAAAACTGATTCTACCTGAGAAGTAACTTGAAGATTCTTGCGTAAGTGAGGATATTACAGTTTAACCCAGAACTTTTTACAGGATTGATTAAGATAGGTCTGTACATGTAACTCGAAAATCCGTCAGACGCTTTGTACAGAAGACCAGAGTTTCAAACCCGTCAGCACAAAGTCCCACAAAGCCACTGAAACCGGTCACTGAAGACACCAGTCACATGATCCAGCTAAGTGCGTGGACCTAAGTCCGACTTTTCCGTCTGAGATATTCGTCTATTAGCGGGACCCTCGAAAACAATATCAATGTTTTGTTTATACGTTGTGTCTATTACGTTATTGTGACCACATAATGTATATTGAATCAACCCTGAAAATGTATCAAATCGGATTACGTCGAAACAGATTATGCCATGGTAATACGTATACGTGTAAGTTCTGTGTACCTAAAATAGACTAAAGAGAATTACTCTTCCGCAAATAATGAGTTATACACAAGGAAAAAGTTCTGACTGCGTTACGTAAACATATAATCTACAACAAATATTCAAAATTGGAAAAATGGAAGTAAAATAGCAGAGTCTTTTGAGCTAATTTTGGATCTAGGGAACTGAAATATCGTAAGAATATTTTAAACAGAATCATGTAAAGGTAAATACATTTGGTGCAGTGTATTACATAAAAAAACATGTAATTTTTTGGAAATAGAATTTACAGATTAGTGCATTAATACGTAGCTAAACAAGTCACAATCGTTGTCTCATTTATTTTCACTTACTATATTATTCAATTTGCAAATATGTTAATTACACGTACTAATAATTACGCATTTGTAATAATTGTAAATTATATATTATAGTTTTTAAACATACCACAAATAATTTTAACATTAAATAGTGAACCGGGCAAAATCAAGAACAAATAGTCCCACTTATTATTAATTAAAGGTGATTTAATTTCATTAAATTTAATTTTAGGTAAACATTTATAAGAACAATATCCTATAAAATCGTGTATTATGTAATATGAGAATTTCATAAGACTTCATATTACTTTACAAAGGTCTGACAAAAGAGACGGTAGAATTTGTAAAATTATTTTTTACATATAAAAATCATAGAAAAAAATCAGTGCATTATCTAATCTGAAACTCTATTTGAGAAGCTGCAACTTACTTTATAACTCGCTGACCTTGATGACGGCCCGAATACAGAAACCGTTTCTGAACTCAGGTTGTTAAACATCTGCAGAACGCAACATAACCTTCACAAGTCCAGGAACTCGACATTAGTCTTAGATTTCATTTACAGTTATGATTCCAAAAAGAAACAAATTGAATTTAACAAAGATCACGGTATGATAAAGATAAGGCGTGCTTTATTTAAAAATACTAGTAACAAAATACAGTATTCCAAAAATTATAAACAGAACTCTTAGACAAAATGTGGCAGCTATAATATATGACCGTTATAAGGACAGGTATGACTAAACGAATGATATTGCAAATTCAGTTGGAGAAAAAAGAATAAATCCAATAGGATAATGACATTTCTGTACTTACCAGCTATTCCACGATCTTCGTTGCACAGAAGAATTGAAGAACCGTCCATTTGTTTCCCTTTCTGTGTGTAGTTTGTATCACTCAAAAATTACGCAAATAAATTATATATCTTTACAACAACAGCCAAATGAGAGTAAATACTCTGTTTCTGAAACCACAACACAAACAGTTGTCTTCATTCGACTTCCAAGGATAAGGCTACAGTCACAAAGGTTGTGCACTTTTAAACATAAAACTGTTCAGCGTGTGTGTTGCTCAGTAAGCAGAAGAAACCGGTTTCTTTAACAGAACAGAACTGATCTTGCGATTAGTCACATGACTTAAACGCGCATGCGCTTTGATTGTAAATAAACTGCAGATACCTGCTCTATAATTAGAAATACGACACCTGTGGGAATATTGACAGTAAAGAATGACGTTTTGTGTGCGACAGCACACAACAACTAAGACATCAGACGCGTAATAAAATAATGCAGCAAGTCAGTGTTTTCGTTTACCTCGGATATTTGTGTCACATGAAACGGAAATAAGATACGGAAGTCAATATTTCTAAACTTTTAACAGTTACAGACATTAGCATCACAACTTTCAAAACACTGAACATCGAGAAACACGTTGGAATAAATATTTATAAAAAGTATGAACGTGGAAAGTGAACAATGAAAAACCTGATGATTAACAGAACAAAGCCAACTATGGACCAGAGAGTAACTTACAATTTACTCGTACACTGGTGAAATCACAATTTCGCTGTCTAAATACAAATCGAAAAATATACACGTAAATTACTAATGTCTGTACACGTAAGTACTTCTCTCTGACCGACGACGTGAATATTACTCCTAAATATAGTTAATTTACCACCTTTTACAGCAAACCAATTCATGTTTCGTTCCGTCTGGTCTATACGCATGCGCCATTTTTTCCCAACCTAACAAATGAAGAACATATAGCGCTAGTGACTCCTATATCGAGGTCAATGAAACGTAAATACTAGTGACGAGTGTTATAGAACGATTCGTAACATGGAACAACAAACTTGATAGAAGAACGTAACAAATGAATAAATCATTCTAGAGTTTTGTTTTCTATTTTTATTAGAGTGACGGCAATAGAAAAAATATTCGAATGGCGAATTTGAAATAATAGCCGATTTGTATACCAACGTCATTCTGTCTAGCAGACTACGTGGTTCTTCATCTCAGCAGACAGACACGATCATACTTGTCGCCGTAAGAACCTCAGATCTTATCAGAAACAACTGATGCTTGAAAGGGGGTAAAATGAATGGGCAAGAAACACAAAAAGTGAGAAATGTTCAAGCCAGTCATCCACAAGAAATGAGATTTCCTGTTCGTGACGAAGTTTATCAAGATCCACCTGATGAAGATTGAACAGGCGTGTATCGTGTGACTGCTGTTGCCATGGAAACTGCTTGCTATGCGTAAGAAAATATTACAGCGTGCCTCTAGGGTTTATGAAATTGTATATAGGTATTTCTTGTCATGTGTTGTTATCTGCTGTTATGCGTTGTTTGCGCAAATTACGAGGAACGAACACATATAGGGCTGTCCGTCCATCCGTATATCTGTCGGCGTGACTGCGCAAATTACGAGGAACGAACACATAGAGGGCTGGGAAAGTTTGTCCGTCCGTCCGTCCGTCCATCCGTATATCTGTCGACGTGATTTAACTCGAAAACCGCTGGACGAATATGGGTTAAATTTTGCATGGTCATTACGTCATCGAGATTTATCCTAAAATCGTTCTTATTTTCATACAAAATGGCGGACGGCAAACTTATGAGATAGAATGAACTCTGACACACGCGTAATAGCGTAATTTTTTACGTAATTTCGAAAACAACATGGCGGTTATAAGAAAAACAAATTTTTTACTTGGCCGGGAATCGATACGATGACGCTTACACAAATATATCTTATTATTATATTATTTTGGTAATGACTTTCAGGGCTTAAAGAAGACGTAGGAACACATGATATGCAAAGTTGGAAACTAAACTTGTGTAAATAAATTCTGAAATATTTTAATAATATTTTTTCTTTAAATTTTACAGGTTAAGACATACAGGTGGTATTTATTGATCAGTTTGTAATTCATTATCAAAGCCTTCTGGGTCTGTGCTGTTCCCTATATTTTAGAAAGCAACACAGAAGAAAGTTAAAAATGCATGTTCATGCATTTTTATGAAAACTGTGGAATTCTATAGCCTACATTAGATAGAAATTTACTCGTTTATTTTGTTAACAATGAGCTAAATCGGTAAAAGTTAATAAATAATCTTATTAAGTTTAAGAGATCCGCTTACATTTCTGCTTCATCTGCGATCAGTCGCTACGCGTGCGCAATATTTTCATGACATGTTATTTTATTCCAGCTGAGAGCATTCATAATCCATAATTTTAAAATAACGTATCTGAAAACTGTATAATACGTCAAGGATTACAGCTTTCCAGTCTTCTTATAGCGTAATATACTCTTTGCAATTATTCCCTCTCATGTAAACCTAAACAACAATTTTAAACCTTCAGCACGGGTTTTCCCCCATTATACAGGTTGATTCAAAAGGTTGGGGCCAAACTGAAGGAGCGTATAGAGGGACTCAGAGAGAACAACTTTCGAATATGAATCCATGTTCTCCGAAGTTATCCTGAGTCAGTAGAGGCCATTGAACATAGAGAAGTCTGATAACATACCGCTGAAATAATCTTACTTTGTTATTTTCCTACTAACTTATTTTTGAATCACACGTATCCCGTCAGATTCTAAAAGGCCCCTAGGCTCTTTTAGTTTGTCCCTAACATTTTGAATCACCCTGTATAGCGATAGTTCGTGTCGCTTAAAACATCCAGCCATTATATTAAATTATAGAAAGAATTTCCCTTTCTCCCTATGAAGACATTAACCCCGGAAAACCCGCGATTTGTTCCCTTGGAAGCTCCTTTTACTAAAAGTTACACAGTAGCATATTTCGCCTTCCTGCCTGTGACCTGCATATCTCATGTTTGGAAAGCTGTAATAACCAGGAACCTGTTGCCACAATGATAGAGACATATACCTCGGCTTCTGCAATGCAATTGTGTGTGTGTTTGTTGATCACTTTCATCCGGCAACAAATTCTGTTTCATAGAGCAAGTAATATATGCTGACTCACAAACATGTAACATAAACATTATAAATTAAGTATGATAGATGTGATGTTTATTTAAAAAGAACAATGCAGTAAAATTCTCCCTCCTGCAGTGATGCATTTTTAGAGGCGCATAGTAAAATCGTCCACCACGCGTTAAAACATCCCGAATCGCTTATCAGATGCTGGCCTTAATCTATATCATGTCTACGATGAGGGCAGCGTCTTGAATACGCGACTCTTCAGATTAACCCTACAAGAAACTGTAGGAGGCTGAGAGATCAGGCGATCTTGGTGGCCGTGATATTAAACGATGCGGAAAAATTCACACAACTTTTCCATACTCATAATCATGTAGTATGTAATGTGGCGCCATCTTGCTGGAACGAGACTGTCGTACGTGTATTTTCAACCAAATTCCTAACCACTGAAACGTCAGTGTTTTATGTCTGACTTCGTATACAAATATGCAAAATGGCTTTTACACTTGTATTGTTTCTTTATCTCCACAAAAAACATGCACTTAACCCAAAAATGGAATATGTTGTTGTTCATTCGTCGGTACATTGAAACTAATCAACAGATTTAGATTAAATGTATTTATGTCAAATTAATTTTGGTTAGTATATGTCAGATGCAACCAGTACATTATATGTAACTGAAATCGAACATAATCGAGTATCTTTGGGACAGCTTATTGTAAACGTGTTGATCAGTTTAAGTTCTGAAATTCAAAACTAGTTACGATGTAACATTATAACTTTAACTAGTTTTCAGTGTAATGTAAAGTTAATATAATGACAGTCTGGGGTGTATACAACGAACAGACAGGATTTTCTTATTTTCAAATATATTTCGAAGAAGTAGTTGGCTGAGTTTGCACACCCCTACTTTAATCTGTGGAAAACCCAATTTGAGAGAGTTTCTGTAGACGAGAACTTCAGTTTGTTGGCATGTCTGGAGTTTATAAAAGAAATGCAATAATGCTATTACAGGGTAAATGCGCCAAGAAAGCTTCGTCCAGGTGCCGCTTTGCTCGTCAAAGAATCCATTTATGTTTGTAAATGAATTATAACTTTGTTTCATTACTGTATTTAAGGCGAGAGAAACAGAGGACAAAACGCTTTAAAAAGAACACTGTATGGGAAGAATAAGACTAAAAAATTATACAAACAGAAATGAACTAGTCTTCAGGTAGTAAAATTTCAAGTTCCGATAACACCAGTACCAAAAAACCAGTTACTGGAATCGAACCTGAGATACGTACTAATAAATCTATAACCTGTCTCAAAAAATCCATTTTAGTATTATCATTCTATCTCCTCATCGATATACATCAGTTACCCTCAAAAAATCCATTTTAGTATTATCATCCTATCTCCTCATCGATGTACATCAGTTACTACCCGAGCCTCATAATTTAAAGGTATCACGTTCGAACCTGAGCCGAAGACCTGCTGAGTTTCCTTCCACATTCTTCCAATTCGCTATTCGAAATCATTAAAAAATTTGCCGCATACCATAATTAATCCAGTTGTAAAACCTTCGTTAAACAACTACGAATCAACCATACCTTCTCAAATGTTATTTTAATAGTGATTTCAGTTCTGTTTACAAATTGTTTATGAGAATTCCTAGGAAGAAATAAAGTGAATCAGACTATAATGACCTCTCTAAAGCTTTGTGACCTCTTGGCTCCGAGAATAACAGTGCAAGATGCAAGTTATGAGACAAATCAGAAGATAGGATAGAAGCTTATTCAATCCAGGGATTGCTTGACACAATTTTGGCCTCTCTTTATTTCCCAGACTCCTATACAAATATATATAGAAGTAAGCGAAAATATCTTTTGATTCACTGGTTTTGGTATGTGGACCTAAGGGAGATACATAGACTATGGATATGTGAAGAAAAAGCAACTGTGAGAAATCGAATAAGGAAGGTAAAAGAGAGAATATAGCAAGTTGATTAATAAAGGTGCTTAATGAGGATTCACAATTATTTCCTTCACAAAATAGTACAGAAGTGATGTAATCACTGAGGGCAAGATGAATGAGATAAGAAACAAGCAAAATTTAAATCAAATGGAGATTGATGTCTTCTGGGTTTTCGCGCCTCGTAATCTGGTAGATGAACCATCGCCCTCATGACGGAGGCAGTATGACCTCTGAAACGTCGGTTAACATCGACCAGACTACACAGCGCAAAACCCAGGAGACAGAAATCTTCATACTCATCGCCCTGATGACGGAGGCAGTATGACCTCTGAAACGTCGGTTAACATCGACCAGACTACACAGCGCAAAACCCAGGAGACAGAAATCTTCATACTCATCGCCCTGATGACGGAGGCAGTATGACCTCTGAAACGTCGGTTAACATCGACCAGACTACACAGCGCAAAACCCAGGAGACAGAAATCTTCATACTCATCGCCCTGATGACGGAGGCAGTATGACCTCTGAAACGTCGGTTAACATCGACCAGACTACACAGCGCAAAACCCAGGAGACAGAAATCTTCATACTCATCGCCCTGATGACGGAGGCAGTATGACCTCTGAAACGTCGGTTAACATCGACCAGACTACACAGCGCAAAACCCAGGAGACAGAAATCTTCATACTCATCGCCCTGATGACGGAGGCAGTATGACCTCTGAAACGTCGGTTAACATCGACCAGACTACACAGCGCAAAACCCAGGAGACAGAAATCTTCATACTCATCGCCCTGATGACGGAGGCAGTATGACCTCTGAAACGTCGGTTAACATCGACCAGACTACACAGCGCAAAACCCAGGAGACAGAAATCTTCATACTCATCGCCCTGATGACGGAGGCAGTATGACCTCTGAAACGTCGGTTAACATCGACCAGACTACACAGCGCAACCACCCAGAAGACAGAAATCTTCAGATTCACCGCTGTGAAAACCTCAAATCTTTCTTAAATCAAATGATAATATTAAAACGGGTCTTATGAATACGATTGCGTGTGGATTGCATGTACCTGGCTCAGGGTAGGTTCTAATGACGGTGTCTTGCAGACACGGTACTAAATAGGAGTGTTCCATAAAAGGCGGTGGTTTAGTAGAATAGCTTAATAACTAACAGCTGTTGTAGAAGGACTCTGCTTAGTACTTTCTTGACTGTTAAACCCACATAGTTATTACAGCTGCGAATACCACAAAAATAATTTTAAATAAACAAATTATTGGACTGTTCATATTATTAACATGTCGCCTGCTCCAAACACGTTCTGTGAAAGACAATTAATCCTTACAAAGAATAATTAGATGCACATCTGCAGCGACATATTAGACAGAACGATGAATGGTCATTCCAAAATTAATGCGGGAAGATCTATTTTTCTGAAATTACATAATATCTTATCCACATAGAATTTATCTTTCGGCCGTGAAACATGGGTTGTTAAGAGGAATG